ATCCTAATTACAGGCACATTTGTTATTAAGACATCCAATAGAGCTTCCTATAAGCCCAGTATGGTATTGTTAACTGACCATTGTAAAGAAAGAGGTAGCTACTCTGTTTACACTGATGAGCTACAGTGAGGAAGGAACCTTGGCCTTGTTTTTACACTGAACATCTAAAAGATGATTTTCTTTAAGTGTGTTTTAGAGGAAACTTTTTCTGTAGCCTACTCTACCACATTAGCATTGTGTTATCGGCTATAGTTAGAAAACTGAAGTCACTCCACACCAGAGTTATTTTCTGAGAAAAGGCAACAACCTCATATAAAGAGGTTGCTGATACTGGATGTTTGTGGTTAGAATAGAACTAGATGTGTTTAATGTATAATCCGGTTGGGTGAAGAAGAGCTAGATTGTATCAGTTCATTTCTAATCATGAGTGTAAACATAACTACTTCATGTCATTTGGGCCTGGGGAATTAAAGGCAGTGTTAAGGAAACACAGAGTGACACATCATTTGAATAATGAATCACTGTGCTCATTTACTGCTGCTTTATTCACTCTGTAGCTTTATAATTACACTGCATGCTTTTAAAAGGATACCTCATTTGACATGCTTCTCCCTCAACCCCCGCTAGAGAATAATGCTACTTAAAAACAAATCTGTGTTGACAGGTACAGGCAAAAATTAGGCTCTGCCATATTATATATTTTGGGTGCATGGCTTTGACAGGCCTGCAAAAGGACTGATGAGACCCAATGTAAAACATGCCAGGCAGTAAAGAGAGTACTGTATGTGAGAGGCCCACACTCTCCCCTGGTCCCAGATCAGTTTGGTGTCCCACTCTGTGCAGTGTTTGTGGGTACACTGAGGTTATTAGTCTGACGGTAGTTGAGTCACCCTCTCCAGGAGGTGTTAGCAGAACGTGTGATGTTTGGGTTCTGTGTGTCCCCTGGCCCCTCTCAGCCAGCCTCTGACATCACTCATTGAAGATACTGGTGAGGAAAAATGATTGCTCACGTTCAATCACTGTAGCTGCTCTGCTAGACCTAGCCCCTACACAAACCGCCCATGTAGGTTTGAATATTTTTTATGTTGAAGTAACTGACACAGGGAGTATGAACTCTTGCACCTCACCATGCACACACTAGTCTAGGGTACATATTCTCACTTTGAATTACATAGTGAGAGCAAAAGAGAGTAGGAGAGAGCAATGGAGACAGAATTTTCTTCACAAATACCGTCCCCTTTATCAGGCTGCCGTGATTGGTCTGACTCCATTGCTGTAACTACTCTTTGTTCATCCATTGGCTTTACTCTGACAATCATGTATGTGGTATTTATGTGGTAGTCTTTTCTATCTCCTCCTGCTTGAAATTGCTCAGATTAACCCATTGTTGTACTAGTTCACCCCGTTTAATCCATATCTCTGTCATCCATAAAGCTACAAACTATAGGTTGAGTCAGTGTAGAAGTACTATGATAGCTGAGATCTGGGGTATCAATCCTCCTCTCCCAGCTCCACTGAGCCCTGCTGACACCACTAGAACCACTGCACTCAGGATAAATGATAGCTGTATAGACCAGTTCTCAGGAAAGCAACATCATCACGCATTCTTGTTTTCTCCATCCCTGATCTGTGTAGCCATGAAGAGCATGAGATCATTTAGCTTGCCATTTTTTTATGAATTGAAGCACATTTCTTTGAAGGGAGGGATCTGATTCATGTGGATTCCTGGTCTGTTTATTGCCGTGTATATGTGCTCCTCCAACCACGGAGGAGGCATGGGAGGATTCAAGGGTTCCCCCTAGGTGCTGTGTTGATATGAGTGGCATGGCTGACGTGGACCGTGGGCTGCTTAATTGATTCTGTCAAGCTAACTCCTATATTCAAAACCTAGGCCTGCCCACTGTCATGCTTTCCAATCCCATCCCTCATATCTTCCACTGTTCGTATCTGTCTGGCGAGTCGTTCATTTCCTGGGCTAGATCCCGAGACAGCGTTAATGTCCTCTGTAAGTATTCTCCCGTTAGCTGCATAATGTGTCTGATGAATGTGCCTCTGGATCCTCCTGGACATTTATGATACCTTGAGGGATGAGTGTGACAGAGACTGTATAACTCACAGTGAAGTGGTCGCTTCCCTCCAGTCCTCTACAATACCAGCCTTCCCTTGTCAGCCTACTGAGGAGGAGGATGGTGAGTGTGTACGTTAAAGTATTGATTTTGAGTTAAGATGGCCGATAATGTGCCACTGGGGGCCAGTGTTAGCCTGTGTAATGTGTTAGGATGGCTGGACTTCATCTGCCATGTCCTCCATAATTGTTTCTGCTCAGATTATTGTGAATTAGAGAAGTGCCAGCAGGCAGTTAATTTGGCTGTCAGGTGTCATAGTGTTGTATGTGAATCAATCCCAGCACTCAGACAAGCTGTTAGAGCATGTTGCTGTACTCCACACTCACCCCTGACAGATGTAGGTTTAATATAATATCGTAGACAGTGATTATTTTTGAGGCCAAAGCACTGCTGTGAATCATAAAGTGTTGCATTGTGTGTGTGTGTGCGGGGGGATACATCAAATGGAACTTGAACAAATGTTGCTTAGTGCCATTTTGTTTATCAGTGATGTTACAACCGTGATGGGCTATGCAGACTTGTTGTAAAGTTTCAACTCTAAGGAAATGGCTTTGACATTGTCTGTTGGAGGCACTTTACTCCCAATAGACAGAGAGAGAGAGAGAGAACCTAACCTCCTGCCAAATGTATGACCATATTAGAGACACATATTTCCCTCAGATTACAGCGATCCACAAAGAATTCGAAAACAAACCCAATTTTGATAAACTCCCTTATCTACTGGGTGAAAAACCACAGTGTGCCATCACAGCTGCAAGATTTGTGACCTGTTGCCACAAGAAAAGGTCAATCAGTGAAGAACAAACACCATTGTAAATACAACCCATATTTATGTTTATTTATTTTCCCATTTGTACTTTAACTATTTGCACATTGTTACAACACTGTATATATACATAATATGACATTTGAAATGTCTTTATTCTTTTGAAACTTCTGAGTGTAATGTTTACTGTTAATATTTATTGTTTATTTCACTTTTGTTTACTATCTACTTCACTTGCTTTGGCAATGTTATCATAAGTTTCCCATGCCAATAAAGCCCTTAAATTGAAATTGAGAGAAGAGCGAGAGCGAGTTATGAGAGTTCCGAAGCAAGAGGAGAGAGAGACGAGACGAGAGCGAGAGAGAGAGAGAGAGGAGAGGAGAGAGAGAGAGGGAGAGAGAGAGACTGACGAGAGAGAGACGAGAGAGGAGAGATCAAAGAGGGGAGAGGAGAGAGGAGCGAGAGAGAGGAGAGAGAGAGAGAGAGAAGACAATGGGAGAGGAGGGAGAGAGAGGAGAGAGAGGAAGAGAGAGAGAGAGAGAGAGAGAGAGAGAGAGGAGAGAGAACGAACAATAGAACCTGATAAGAAGTGAGGACTCCTCTGACATCTTTATCAGTCCAAACAGACTCACACCTCAAGCTCTGACAGAGCAGAATCTGCTCAGTCTGTTGTGAAGAAGCAGAGTTTTAATAACTTTATTAGAAACCAGTAGCAGTACAGCAATGCTGCCAGTCTTTGTGATAAAACAATTACATTATCATCATCCTCTTAATTATTTATGTCATTATAAGTTGTGGCAATAGTAGTCATAAAATTAATTGGTTTAGTATAGCATTACTATTCCAGAAAGAAACAATAAGAAAGCTTGCTATTGCAGACCTAGAAGGCTACAGCAGCATGCTGAACGAAGATATCCAGTGGTAAGAAATCCATTTGAGAATTGAAGTATAAAGCAGTCCTTGATATCAGAGGTTGAAGGGAGCTCTGATGGTTGACTGTAGCCCTTGGGCTGCCCTACACTGTACTCCAGACCTCCTTATAGAAGGATTCATGTCAGGGAGAGAAAATAAGTAATAAGGGCCTGAAACACAGAAAGCCTTGTGCTTTTGTTTGGTGAAAGTGAGAGAAGGACATGAGCAACAACAGGAGAGATGGAGAGTTGAGAAGGTGGGAGTCTGGGGTTCTAAAGTGATGCAGGGAGAGGAGAGCTCAGGAGGAACCGGGTATCTGTCACACAATCCCTTGTCCTTGATGAATGCTTATTCAAGTCTCTTATATCTGGCAGTAAAGAAACAACTTGGAAATGGGAAAATATATTTTATGATTTCATCTCAATTCATCTAATCGAAGTAGTAAACTGCTAATGGGGTGGGGGGGGGGGGGGGGGGGGGGGGGGGGGGGCAAATTCCCATGTTTGTGTGTTCGATGCTAACATGGCTACATCATAGGGCTTTGAGAGAGAGAGGCTGGGTGTGGATCAAAGAGTAGTTGCTAGTGAAGGAGCGAGTCAGCCAGCTAAAGCGACGAGGAGCTGTGAAGCCTTGCTTCTTTCAATGGCATGCAATTGGACCAGTGATTTCCTCTAAAAGGCTATTTGTGAAACAGATGGTTTTGAGTTTGTCATGTTATCAGTGGAGATCTGCCCTCCTCTCTCTAGCTGCCATCTGTTGGTGCTGCATTTAGCCCCTGGGCATATCTAGGTAATCTAGGGGGCTGCATTGCAACACTCTCACCACACATTCCAAGATGTGCCCCTGCCCTCTTCTCTCCTTTTGTAGTTGGGAATAAATAATGGGGATGGCCAGTGAAGGACAAATGCTAGAAATAATGCATCAGAGGGACACACAACACTTTATCTGGCCTACAGTGCATCTCATACTGTAAGGGTCAAGATAAAAGACCACCTACAGTACAGTACAGCACAGTTTGGAAAGTGTGTGTGTGTGTGTGTGTGTGTGTGTGGGGGGGGGGGGGGGGGGGGGGGGGGGGGGGGCAGCATTGTCCGTTGAGTTGGGTTTGGCTGGTCCTGATGGTGCTGCTTTGTCTGGGTATCTCCTTGTGATACTTACACATGCTTCTCTCCCCCTCCTCTCCTATTCCTGTCCAGGTGTCAGACAGGTGTGACTATGTGTTTGTGAATGGGAAGGAGATGAAGGGCAAGGTGAGGATGATGGTGAACTTCACCTACAGCTACCTGAGTGCTCAGCTGGAGATGAACGTGTGGATCCCACGGCTGCCCCTCCAGATCGAGGTGTCTGACACAGAGCTCAGCCAGATCAAGGGGTGGAGGGTTCCCACCACGGCAAGCAGCCAAAGGTATGTGTCCCTCTTCCCCTTCCATAGAATCACATAGACAAGCTTTTCACCCATGCTGTCCTAGCCAGGTAAGTGGACAGACAATTGGAAATGGGATGATTGAAAGAGCATGCACAACAGCTCTTATCTTAGACATAAGATACTTTGTTCTGCACTTTGTATGAACACTATTAATATATAAATGCCTGCCATATTTATCTCCAGCCAACATTATGTTCTGGCAGAACAGGATCTTGTTGTTTGCTAATGACAAATACCTTATTATTGGAAACTATACTCTTATTGTAAATTCCAAATCGACATAAATGTTAAACGTCTTAGATGTTAAGTCCCCCATATCTTTCAGCGGTTCTGGAACGGTTCCAACTGATATTTTGCAGTACAAAGTGCTCTGTGAACGCCGTAGGGTCCCGTGCCTAAAATGCCAAAAAGTCACATCTGTTTGCTCTCTGTTTCCACTCTCTAAGAGGAGCTGAATTGAAGTGTCAGGTTTCAGACCCTACATTTGCATGGGGAGTGACGTGTCACATTTTCTGGCCCATCCAGACAAATAATCAATTATCTCTTCCGCTGAGTGAGTGAGCCCAGCTTGAGAGACTGCAAATGAATGGTGACAGTCTAGCGAGTCCAGCCATTGTGGTTTTATCTCACTGTGATATTCTCAGCCGGATCTAGAGCTCTCAACATGAACAAAATACTAAATAATTTCATATAATTTAAATAAGATCACTTTCTCTTGGTCACGTGCTTAAAGCTACAACGAGTCTGCACACATTTGAACGTTGTCTCTGCACCTCTCAGTGGACGTTTAGGAGAAAATGAGCTGTCGAGAGTTAGACTTCAGTGCGGCTTTTGACATTATTGATCATAGTCTGCTGCTGGAAAAACGTATGTGTTATGGCTGTACTCCACCTGCTATATTGTGGATACAGAGTTACCTGTCTAACAGAACAGAGAGGGTGTTCTTTAATGGAAGCCTCTCCAACATAATCCAGGTAGAATCAGGAATTCCCCAGGGCAGCTGTCTAGGCCCATTACTTTTTTCAATCTTTACTAATGACATGCCAGAGTGTCTATGTATGTGGATGACTCAACACATTTTACATTACATTTTAGTCATTTAGCAGACGCTCTTATCCAGAGCGACTTACAGTTAGTGAATACATATATATTTTTTATACTGGCCCCCCGTGGGAATCGAACCCACAACCCTGGCGTTGCAAACACCATGCTCTATCAACTGAGCTACATCCCTGCCGGCCATTCCCTCCCCTACCCTGGACGACGCTGGGCCAATTGTGCGCCGCCCATGAGTCTCCCGGTCGCGGCCGGCTGCGACAGAGCCTGGATAGTGCCTTAGACCACTGCGCCACTCAACACTATACATGTCAGCTACTACAGTGGCTGAAATGACTGCAACACTTAACAAAGAGTTGCAGTTAGTTTCAGAGTGGGTGGCAAGGAATAAGTTAGTCCAACATATTTCTAAAACTAAAAGCATTGTACTTGGGACAAATCATTCACTAAACCCTAAACCGCAACTAAATCTTGTAATAAATCATGTGGAAATTGAGCAAGTTGAGGTGACTAAACTGCTTGGAGTAACCCTGGATTGTAAACTGTCATGGTCAAAACATATTGATACAACAGTAGCTAAGATGGGGAGAAGTATGTCCATAATAATGTGCTGCTCTACCTTCTTAACAGCACTATCAACAAGGCAGGTCCTACAGGCCCTAGTTCTATCACACCTGGACTATTGTTCAGTCATGTGGTCAGGTGCCACAAAGAGGGACTTAGGACAATTGCAATTGGCTCAGAACAGGGCAGCACGGCTGGCCCTTGTATGTACACAGAGAGCTAATATTAATAATATGCATATCAATCTCTCCTGGCTCAAAGTGGAGGAGAGATTGACTTCATCACTACTTGTATTTATGAGAGGTATTGACATGTTGAATGCACCGAGTTGTCTGTTTGAACTACTGGCGCACAGCTCGGACGCCCATGCATACCCCACAAGACATGCCACCAGAGGTCTCTTCACAGTCCAGAACAGACTATGGGAGGTGCACAGTACTACATAGAGCCATGACTACATGGTACTCTATTCCACATCAAGTAACTGATGCAAGAGGTAAAATTATATAAAAAAACAGATTAAAAAAACACCTTATGGAACAGCGGGACTGTGAAGCAACACACACATAGGCACAGACAGATGCATACACACACATGATAACATACGCACTATACACACACGTACACATGGATTTTGTACAGTTGATATGTGGTAGTGGTGGAGTAGGGGCCTGAGGGCACACAGTGTGTTGTGAAATCTGTGACTGTATTGTAATGTTTTTAAAATTGTATGAACTGCCTTAATTTTGCTGGACCCCAGGAAGAGTAGCTGCTGCCTTGGCAGCAGCTAATGGGGATCCATAATAAATACAAATACAAAAATATGAATTAGTGCCAATATTGTACTGTCATTAAGTATGATCATATTTATTTTACAGTTATAAGAAATGTGAAATCTTATTGTAAGTCATTTATAATTTGATTGTTACTATATTTAGAAAGCATTTCAGTCATTTCAAGCCTTATTGCCCCACTTTTGTTGAAAAGGAAAAAAATATGATTTTTCATATATTCATAATATTTATACTATGTACTTGCGCTTGTGTCCTCAAAAGTGAGTACACCTCAGCAATTTATAACCATTTTTATCAGAAAGGTGAGTTCCAGACCTTTCTAAAACTATGCAACATTACCACTTATTGTTTATGGCCATCATGAAAAATAATTATGTTTGAGTATGTCTATTTAGGCGGAAGTCAAAATGTTGTCCTATCATTCAACTTAAAGTGCAATGTTGTTTTTAAAATTGAATGACCCTGTACCAGTGCCTCTTGCCCCTCTATATTAAGTATATCCTCCCTTGTGTGTAGTATTGCGTACAGAGGGAGCCCTGATCACACTGACTGTATTGGATTACTGTCACGGTGGGCTCACACAGGGTAATGAGGGCAAGTGTTGGACACAACTACCATGGTTGCTTCTGGTTCCTTCTGGCTCACTGCAGGGCCTGACATTATTAGAGCTGTCTGAAGGTCACACATCTCCCCACCGGGGCCGAGGCCTCGTCTCCAATAGCACCTTACCACCATTCTGCTGGCCTCACACTCTTTGACATCTATCAATGGAGGGAGCAGACATCAGGTCAACCTAGTGTAATTAGTACTGGACATGTTCACTATTGGACCTGGTTTGAGTCCCATCTCTCACCTGCCAGCCTGGAAATGAAGGTGTCTGGCTCCTTTATAATTAGCTGTTACCTTATTCAACATTTTCACTGACTGAGCTGAGAGGCATATAGTTTGGATTTGTGGGGGCTTGTTGTGTTATGTAGGATGTTGTTTTCCAACTGTGTGTTGGTATGCCCCTATCAGCAGGAACAGCCCATTTCTGTTGTCCTTGTTGATGAGAGTGTGTCCGGTCTGGCATGGCTGCTGACAGACCGCTGGGAGTTTGTTCCCTCCCTGTCCTCCTCTCATCTTTGTTTATCAGGGAATAACAGGCGTAACCTTGCAAAGTAGCGGGGTGACTGGTGACGAGAGCGGGCACCGGGCACCCGTCCACAGTCGAAGGAACCCACAGAGCACTGGCCCAGTCAGAGCCACAATACCAAGAGAAGGGACCTGCCTCCGTCAGATAGGCTGCTAAGTGATCCACACAGACAAGAGAGAGAGAGAGAGAGAGAGAGAGAGAGAGAGAGACCGACCATTGGGATCCAGATTATGTGTGTCCAGGCCTGGGAGTGGGGTGTTTGCCAGAACGCTAGCTCCACAGTCTTGCATTTGCGGGGTTTGCCTCCCCCTCGCAGCAGCCCCCACCAATACTTGTACATGGTAAGTGTTTACAGGCAGGCACATTCATTAATTCCCCTCGCTCAGGGATACAAGTGTGCTCTCTGTGAGGGATGTGCAACATGTCATGATGATTTTGTTCTCATGGCTATGTTTCCTTTGTTCCGGGACCGGGTTGCCTTTGTGAAGGGTTCTTATGTTCTGTTTTTAGAACATCTGCATGTTTCTCTATATAAGGGCTTGTGTATTGTCCTCAAATGCTGACCTTGACAAAACAATGTCACTTACTGTACTCTTTCGACATTACAATTTGGACACGCTCTTAAATAGGCGGCTGGTAGCCTAGCGATTAAGAGCTTTGGGCTAGTAACAAAAAGGTTGCTGGTTCGAATCCCCGAGCCGACTAGGTGAAAAATCTGTCGATGTGCCCTTGAGCAAGGCACTTAATCCTAATTGCTCCTGTAAGTCGCTCTGGATAAGAGCGTCTGCTAAATGACAAAGAAATGTACAATAAAAAGCAATCAATGTTCTTGGAAGAAAAAATGCAGCTGCAGTACCGTCCATCTCTCTCTCCAAATGACCTTCATTACATCTTTGTAACAGAAAAGGAACATGCAGCAAAATGCCAAAACAAATACCCGACAGAATCCATGGGGAAGTGGAAAATCAGCATGACACAAACATTAATATGCATCTGTTCCGAAGCTAAATTTGGAAATGAGAGTGAATGAAGCACAGAGAGAAATTGCTTTCAGATACAGGTTGTTCCCAGAGTTTGATTCGTCTATTAGATTAACCATAGATTAGATTGGAGATCGCTGCACAGTGCCCTGCTGCAGATTAGATTTATGCCAGGAGTAAAATACCAGCTAGGTAGGGATTGGGAGCCATCAGTTGATAATGCACACATGACTTCTGATTGATATGCCCTCTGTGGCCCACTCACACTGCCCCCAATCACATCCTCATACTGCACCAATCACATCCTCACATGGGCCCAATCACATCCTCATACTGCACCAATCACATCCTCACACTCTGCCCCAATCACATCCTCACCCTGCCCCAATCACATCCTCACATGGCCCCAATCACATCCTCACCCTGCCCCAATCACATCCTCACACTGCCCCAATCACATCCTCACACTGCCCCATCACATCCTCACACTGCCCCAATCCCATCCTCACTCTGACCCAATCACATCCTCACTCTACCCCAATCACATCATCACACTGCCCCAATCACATCCTCACTCTACCCCATTCACATCATCACACTGCCCCAATCACATCCTCACACTGCCCCAATCACATCCTCACTCTCTGCCCATACTCTGACTAATCCTCTAGACTGGACCTAGCCACTACCCAGACCCTGTTCCTAGGAGCTGGAAGACCCTCACTGTAGAGAGTATGAGTGGATAAGTATGAGTGCACAGTAATCTGTCAATAAACAAGATAAATTGAACCCTAACCACAGTTAAATTGGAAATGTCACGCTAGAGTGTAATAAAGGCAGACAGGCTTTTGCAGTTCTTTATTCACTTTCCTTTTTGTATTATGTCTTACTGAAGACTAATTCCTTGATTGATGTGAAATAACCCTTGTCCTGAAATCCCTCTGATCTTGTCAGTGGAAGTCCTGTGCCTTAACTCTACTACCCAAGGCTGATCTCTAACACGCTTAGCTAGTGTCTTCATTGCCATACCCTGTTTTGCCACACATCGAAGGATACTAATTAAGGGTGTTGGACAGGGAAACAGAGACAATGAGAGAGGATAATCAAAAGAATAACATTTCAAGTGAATAACTTTCACTCTTTTCTCTCCCATCATGGTATCAAACCTTGTGTGTGTGTGTGTGCGTGTAGCCATGTGTGTGTATGTGTAGTCATGTGTGTGTGTATGTGTAGGCATGTGTGTGTCCGTGCATGTGTGTGTGTGTTTATGGTCAGACATGAGGTGATGAGGTGATGAGGCAGCAGGACAAGCGAAGCCCTGTGATTATTACACTGTTGACGAAGCACGCCTGTCCGGTCCCGTTGCTTGACATCAGTGCTGCTGTGGCAGCATTTACTCACACAAAGCAAACACTACTATTTATCTCACTAGAAGTGAGCTGTGTATCTATGACATACAATTACTTGTTTAAAAGCAACTTTATAGGTAAATTCCACAAAAGCAACCTTGTAAGCCTTGTTTTCACATTGCAAGAAATATTCTAATTGAGAAAGTCCATTCTTTAAGATGATTGGTTGCCTATAGCAACCTGAACAGGATTTGCTATCAGTGGGTGGGTGTTAGATGTTCATGTTAGACATGTCCAGAGGTTAGTTTAGGCTTTCATGTTATATGACTGCCTTTGTTTGTGATGGCAGGTCTGCACGGGACAGTGATGATGAGGATGATGAAGACCGGAGAGGGAGGAGCTGCACGTTACAGTACCAGAATGCCATGGTTCGAGTTTTGACATACTTTGTGGCCGAATCCACCGACCCACGTGGTCAGCTGACCTTCATGCTGGGCAGTGATTGGCAGGTGGACATCACTGGGCTGGTGTGGGACTTCCTGAAGGTGGAGAACCCCCAGATAGCTCAGCTACAGGACAGACGCATACTTGTGGGACTAGACATGGGGATGACCACCATCCAGGTACGCTGTATGTCTGTGCATGTGTGTTATAATCAGGAGTTTCCGTTCAATGGCAGAGCAAAAATTAACAGAGCAAGTGAGTTAGAATTGAGAGAGGAGTGAGCGGGGGTGGAAGGAATTTGAAAATATAACCGTAAAACATCCCTCAGTTTCAATAATAGGGCTGAAAAATACCTTAAAACAGTCATCTTAAGTAAGTCATAAGTTATAACAATGGGATTTGCAAATGTCGAGTGGAGGAGATAATATCTATATTTTTGTTTCACCAACATTTTCCTTATCACCTTGTGCAGTCAGCCAGGCAGGTTGTTATCAATGGTCCCATGTCCCCAGCTTTAGGCTGTGGTGACAGTAAATGGGGCCTCACCCTGGTGCAGAAAGGAAGGATGTCATCTCTCACTAGCAGGGCCCCTTCATTTGTCAGCCTCCGCTGGCTAACTGGATAAATAGCAGTCAGTTAATGACGTCTGTGTGAAACTGATCAGCAGCCTGACAGTCTGGACTCATCCATCTGTCTGCAGGCAGACGTGCCCTCATCTCCACACCCATCCCCCAGCTCCCGCCTCCCGTTAGGCTGGGCACAGAGGAAAACACCCTACAGCGGAAAACAGCACGAGATGAGACATTTTAGTCATTTAGCAGACGCTCTTATCCAGAGCGACTTACAGTTAGTGAACACATATATATATATATTTTTATACTGGCCCCCCGTGGGAATCGAACCCACAACACTGGCGTTGCAAACACCATGCTCTATCAACTGAGCTACATCCCTGCCGGCCATTCCCTCCCCTACCCTGCCGGCCATTCCCTCCCCTACCCTGGACGACGCTGGGCCAAATGTGCGCCGCCCATGAGTCTCCCGGTCGCGGCCGGCTGCGACAGAGCCTGGATTCGAACCAGGATCTCTAGTGGCACAGTTAGCACTGCAATGCAGTGCCTTATACCACTGCGCCACTCAGGAGTACAAAACTGTGAATAACTTTCTGTTTGTCTGTCACACTGACTACCTCTCAAGAGAGCTGGTGATGCGTTTCTGTGAATGGGCACGCAGTGAAAGATAAAATGTATTTCCAAAATGACATTAATGAAATTAGATTTGCACTAATTAGATTACCAGGAAAAGTCAATTAACAGCAGAAATTAGCACATGATTGGTCCTTGCCTACTCCATTGTGTATGCTGGTGGTTTTCTGTCCACATCATCATTTGATGAACGTTTTATGAACAAACACCTGACAGTGAATACTGGAAGGGCTTGTTCAGGTCACCCCAATTACTGACAAATAACTAAATCTATATACTCATCAATTTAAATGGAAGCCAGCATAATGTTGGAAGGCATTAAGGTCAGAGCTGAGAATCATTGCAGGATTTACAGAGCATCCGAGAATAATGTAATAACAGGCTCCCTACCTAAATATGGTAATGTGTTGCGTGACAACAAAGTGAAGGTGATGTTTGATGTCCACTCAGCCGTGAGCACATTAATTTGAATGAGTGTGTGGCTTTATACACAGGTGTATACCAGCCTTTTATATACAGCGCATTCTGAAAGTATTCAGACCCCTTGACTTTTTCCACATTTTGTTATGGTACAGCCTTATTCTAAAATGGATTAAATTGTTTTTTTCCCTCATCAATCTACACACAATACCCCATAATGAGAAAGCCAAAACAGGTTTTTAGAAATGTTTGCAAAAAACTAAAAAAAACTAAAATGGAAATATCACATTTACATAAGTATTCAGACCCTTTACTCAGTACTTTGTTGAAGCACCTTTGGCAGTGATTACAACCTTGAGTCTTCTTGGGTATGATGCTACAAGCTTGGCAGACCTGTATTTGGTGAGTTTCTGCAGAACCTCTTGAGTTCTGTCAGGTTGGATGGGGAGAGTCACTGCATAGCTACAGTGGCTTGCGAAAGTATTCACCCCCTTGGCATTTTTCCTATTTTGTTGCCTTACAACCTGGAATTAAAATTGATTTTTGAGGGGGTTGTATCATTTGATTTACACAACATGCCTACCACTTTGAAGATGCAAAAAAATATAATCTGTGAAACAAACAAGAAATAAGACAAAATAAATTAAAACTTGAGCGTGCATAACTATTCACCCCCACCAAAGTCAATACTTTGTAGAGCCACCTTTTGCAGCAATTACAGCTGCAGGTCTCTTGGGGTATGTCTCTATAAGCTTGGCACATCTAGCCACTGGGATTTTTGCCCATTCTTCAAGGCAAAACTGCTCCAGCTCCTTCAAGTTAGATGGGTTCCGCTGGTGTACAGCAATCTTTAAGTCATACCACAGATTCTCAATTGGATTGAGGTCTGGGCTTTGACTAGGCCATTCCAAGACATTTAAATGTTTCCCCTTAAACCACTCAAGTGTTGCTTTAGCAGTATGCTTAGGGTCATTGTCCTGCTGGAAGGTGAACCTTCGTCCCAGTCTCAAATCTCTGGAAGACTGAAACAGGTTTCCCTCAAGATATTCCCTGTATTTAGCACCATCCATCATTCCTTCAAATCTGACCAGTTTCCCAGTCCCTGCCGATGAAAAACATCCCCACAGCATGATGCTGCCACCACCATGCTTCACTGTGGGGATGGTGTTCTCGGGGTGATGAGAGGTGTTGGGTTTGCGCCAGACATAACATTTTCCTTGATGGCCAGAAAGCTCAATTTTAGTCTCATCTGACCAGAGTACCTTCTTCCAAATGTTTGGGGAGTCTCCCACATGCCTTTTGGCGAACACCAAACGTGTTAGCTTATTTTTTTCTTTAAGCAATGGCTTTTTTCTGTCCACTCTTCCGTAAAGCCCAGCTCTGTGGAGTGTATGGCTTAAAATGGTCCTATGGACAGATACTCCAATCTCCGCTGTGGAGCTTTGCAGCTCCTTCAGGGTTATCTTTGGTCTCTTTGTTGCCTCTCTGATTAATGCCCTCTTTGCCTGGTCCGTGAGTTTTGGTGGGCGGCCCTCTCTTAGGAGGTTTGTTGTGGTGCCATATTCTTTCCATTTTTTAATAATGGATTTAATGGTGCTCCGTGGGATGTTCAAAGTTTCTGATATGTTTTTATAACCCAACCCTGATCTGTACCAGCGGAGGAAGGAGGAGGTCGTCGGGTAAGCTTGGCGTCGGGTAAGCTTGACTTTATACATAGCTTGGGCTTTGTCGAGTAAGGCTTAAACTATGTATTTAGATTGTAGTTAGGTATTGTAGGTAGTTATCGTGGGTTGTTGTATGTAATTATTGTAGGTTAGTATTGTATTCGGCTGTGCCCGGTGTAGCACGAAGCTAGCTAGCTAACCCACCACCTGGACTAGCTGGTGAGTAGCTATTAGCAACGGTATAGTTGTTTCACGCCTGAGAGTGCCTGTAATTACGCCAGCTGGCTGCCTACAATAATTACATACAATAATTGCCTACCATTCAGCTGTTTTCTAACCTCATTGTCTGAACCGTTAACGTCAGGTAGCAAGTGGCTACTGTGCTTGAAATTTAGCTAGCTTGTTGCTACCTGGATAGCTACTAGTAAACAATAGCTGGAACGACCGAGCGAACAGACGCGAACTGGCTGAGTCAATTCAGTGGCTAGCTTTGCACTTGGCTAGCTAACAGTAGCTGCTTGGGGTAAGTCATAACCTACATTTGTGTTTTGTTTTTTACATATTGATAGCCCGAGTTGTTCAAGGAATTCGGGACATGGGTGACTAGTTAACGTTAGTTTGGCTCACTCTGTGTGTTCGTGCCGTGAAAGGAGGGGTTCTTCTTTGTCTGAAAGCAATGGCTAGCTAGTTTGCTAACTATTCTAGCTAACTAACTGGCTGAATAAGTTGACGACGGACTCGCTCAAGCTGTCGGGACTAACCCACAACGTTAGACACGGACACGAACGATCTGCTTGCGTGTTGATACACTGGTGGTTTGTTGTGGCCGAGTATTGGCGCTAAACCGTGTTGTTGGAGTCCGGCATGCTAGCTGGCTGTGGCGTCTTATGACTAAGTGCCTGGACGATTTTCACGGAATAATACTGAACCTAGTTAGCTAGCTGAATAAACTAAGTTAGTCTATTCCTAGAAAACATTGAACCGCTGTAGTTTACAACAATTATAGTTTCTGAGGTGGAAGTTGGGAGAGTTATATTTGGGAGTTGTGGTGAGGGAGGCCCCGCTCTCTCCTTTCCCAGATGTTTAGTTCATTTCATTCCGATCTCCTCTGCATTATTGTAGCCATCTCCTGCAGCCTGTCAACTATGCCTCTGCCTATCCCTGTTCTCTCCTCTCTGCACAGGCTACACAAACGCCACACACCGCATGGCTGCTGCCTCTCTAACCTGGTGGTCCCTGCACGCACGACCCACGTGGAGTTCCAGATTTCAGGCAGCCTCTGGAACTGCCGTTCTGCTGCCAACAAGGCAGAGTTCATCTCAGCCTATGCTACCCTCCAGTCCCTCGACTTCTTGTCGCTGACGGAAACATGGATTACCACTGAAAACACTGCTACTCCTACTGCTCTCTCCTCATCTGACCATGTGTTCTCGCATACCCCGAGAGCATCTGGTCAGCGGGGTGGTGGCACAGGAATCCTCATCTCTCCCAAGTGGACATTCTACATTTTTCCCCTGACCCATCTGTCTATCTCCTCATTTGAATTCCATGCTGTCACAGTCACTAGCCCATTTAAGCTTAATATCCTTGTCATCTATCGCCCTCCAGGTTCCCTTGGAGAGTTCATCAATGAGCTTGACGCCTTGATAAGTTCCTTTCCTGAGGATGGCTCACCCCTCACAGTTCTGTGGGATTTCAACCTCCCTACGTCTACATTTGACTCATTTCTCTCTGCCTCCTTCTTTCCACTCCTCTCCTCTTTTGACCTCACCCTCTCACCGTCCCCCCCTACTCACAAGGCAGGCAATACGCTTGACCTCATCTTTACTAGATGCTGTTCTTCTACTAATCTCACTGCAACTCCCCTCCATGTCTCCGACCACTACTTTG